TTAGAAATTGAAGCAATTTCATGTTATCAATGTTCAATGAAATATTCAAATGTTGAATGTAATTCAAATAATTCAAGCTATTTTACTGATTGTCAACCGACATTTGATACATGTTTAACAATTGTACTCAAACCAGGTAGAATTCTAGATGTTTGTTTTTTTATTTATTTTAATAAAATATTTTAGATAATTTTGATGAAATAATCATTACAAAGTATTGTACAAAACGTAATGCATGTGAACGTCAACAAAATTATACACATTCTTTAACGCCTTGTCAACCAAATAATGAAGGTCGAAGTTGGGGTTGTGTTTCATGTTGTGGTGATCGAGATTTATGTAATTATGATGATTCAAATCGATTAATACCAAATATAAATATAGCAAGAATATTCTTATTTGGTTTTTTACATTTTTTCTTTTGTTATTAATGAAAAAATAATAGAAATTTTTAGCAATAATTTTTTTGTTTTGAAAGAATTGCTTGCGTTATAAGAATCATATTAACCTTAGATGAATCGATTTCTATCAAGTGTTGTAAAGATTATTTTATTCTATAATATCATCTACAAACTTTGATGTCATAGTCTAATCAATATAAAAGAAGACAACGTGCTAAGTGTTGTCCTCTTATAGAATTAGTTCTATTTATATATCAACTGGAATTTGAGTAATAATCGATATTGAATTATGTATGAAGAATGCTCTTCAAAAAAACAAATCTTCTCTTTATTTCAAACGTCTTGTTTGATGTCATGTTAGACGGACAGCAGAAAAAAAAAAGTTACTTTTTTTTTCCTAACATTCTAAGACTTCATTCGGCGCTGCTTTCGACGTTAACTTCTTAAACTGAGATAGTGTTATTGAGTAAAGCGACACTTCCTTTCTCTTTCTTTCTTTTATTACGTGCATTACAGATATTACAAGCAAATTCTATCGAGAGGTTTAAAGAACCCTCGTTTGTGTCGGACGTCTACACCAAAGAAAAAAACCTCAAAAAATAAAAGCAGGCCGTGAGAAAAATTGATAACTGTGGTGTATTTTCATTTTGCTTATCACAAAAACAGAACGAGGAAAAAGAATTTTTCTTTTTTATTTTTGAAGACAAGTATGTCTGGCTAAAGTAATTGCGTACACGTAGAGCTTACAATGGCATCAAATAGACAAATACAACCAATACAATCTCGACGTGATTCTACAGAATCTGTAAGAAATAATGAATAAGAGTATTTCTAATGAATATTAATAATATATATATATATTTATTTATTTATTTATTTATTTATTTATTTTGTTTAAAGACATCAGCGTTGTGGGAAAAAGTTCATCAACAATTTCCATCAAAAAAGCAAAATGCTCCATTTGCTGATGAAAATAATGATTCACTTGATGATAATCCAACAATTGATGATAATGATGAATATGAAAGTGAATCTGGTACATCACTACCTATTCAGACAAGTCCATCTAATCTTGACATAAATAAAAAATTTCAACCATGGCAAACACCAACAAAACAAGATTATTTAATAATTATTATAAATGATGAAGAAAATACTGAAGAAGTTAAGCGAACTATAAAAAACGATTTTTCACGACAAGGTTTGCGATGGACAAATAAAGAAGAACAATTACATCCATGGTATTTTGGATTAACATCAATACATATTCACTTTACTAAATCACAAAGCATTGATATTCCGAGACTTTCTTTCTCTTCATCTTTGCCTTTTTGGATGACGTTAAAAAAAGAAAAACAACAAGATAAGTTAAGTAATAATATGTCAAAGAAACCAATCTACCATAGACTACAATCAGATTTTGCTGTTTCACTTCGTTATGGTGCACTTATTGATTTAAATCAGTTTTTCTATTCAAAAGATCATTCATGGGAAAATGATCCATGCTCAAAATGGTCTATTTCTTTAAATGATCAATATAGTGGTAGTGGTTCTATCGAATGGATTATAGAAGATAATGAAAAAAGACAAAAAAAACAGTTATTAATTTCTAATATTAATCATTCAATTATTGTTGTTTCACGTGAAGAAGGTTTTGATATATATATTTGTCAAAAATGTAATATCAATGAATTTGAAGCTCAAGCTACAAATAATAATAATAATAATAATAATAATAATAATAATATTCATCATAGAAATAGATCACGTCAAAATAGATCAAGTGGAAACAAAGATTTTTCAGGAAATGTCGAACAACAGCCATTACATCATCGATCACATTCAAGACCACGTAATGCTGTGCCATTACATCGTCGATCAAATTCAAGAACACATGATGATGAGCCATCGCGCTCGACACAACATGACTCTCGACAACAACGACGATTTAATTATGAACATTATAAACGAATTGGTGTCAATGCTGGTTGTTATTTTCCTACTATTCAATTTAGTATACATCATGATCCACTTCGTTTAACAAATAATACTATACCAAATATTAAAAATCGAATAAAACAAATAGTTGCATTACTTATTGAATTTTTTCTTTCACATCAAATAACTGTTTGTTATGGAAATATCGATTCAAATATTGGATCAAAACCATATTTATTTTTTCAAGAAGAAATACCTCATTTTCCATCACTTATCATGAAATATTCATGGCAAATGCTTTCTAGTGTTGGATATCGGTTACAAATTCAAATAAGTAAAGAAAATTTTATCGAAAAATTACATAAATTAAGTAAAGAAGAACATAATCCTGATGAATTATTTTATCGTGTATGTGTTTATCTTTCAAGGATATTTTCATTAAAACCATTTGTTAACATAAATAAAGAATTAGAACATGCTATAATTCAATCTCAACAAAAGCGAGATGATTGTGCTTATGGTTTAATTAGTAAAATAGATATTGAAGAAATAAATGAAGCATATATACCATCAGTATCATTAACACCAACAACAATTCGAATAAAACCATTAAAATTATGTCGAACAAATCGAGTTCTTCGAGCTACTAAACAATTTGGTTCAGCACTTTATCATTTTGTTCTTGTTGATATTCGGGATGAAAATGGTCGAAATTTACAATCATTTCATTTTCGAGATTTACATTCATTATTACTTGGTTATTTGGAAAATGGTTTTATACTAATGAATAATAATCGAAAATATAAATATTTACATCATTCTCAATCACAATTACGGGAAAGACAATTTTGGTTTTATCATCATAATGATTATGATAAAGATCTAAGAAAAAAAAATCTAAGTTTTTCTGAAGCTTATAGATGGATGGGTAACTTCGATAAAGAGAAAAATCCAGCTAAATATGCTGCACGTATGGCACTTTGTTTTACAACTACAAAAGCAACTGTTCAAGTAAGTTATATAATAAACTATATCATCTATCATGTTTTTGTTAGAACATCTATTGTTTTCTTTCATAGGTGCCAAAAAATAATGTCGAACTAGGAAAAGACATCGAGATCACAATCGGTGATAAAACTTTAATATTTACAGATGGTTGTGGTAAAATGTCATTTGAATTGAGAGATAAAGTAAGGATTATTAATAATGAAATTTCTAAGATAGAATTTAACTAAATCTTTTGACATAATTTCATTTTCAAAAGAAATAACTAAAATCTTTTTTTCGTTGATTGTTTATGAACTACCATCGAAATGTTTCTGATACCAAATTAATTATCTATAGAAATTATAATCAGGAACATGAACGTTTTTTATGATCGAAATCACAGACTCCTAGTTGAGAGTGAATATTAGAAATACTTTTCTTTATATATCAACTTTAGAGACATTATATCCTTTCATATTTAATGCTTATCTGTAATGTAAAAATATAATAAAAAGTAAAAAAAATTCAGAAAAAAAGCATATTTTTATCAATTAGTTTGAAAATCGGAGCAATGCAAGTCACTATGATCTGTAACATGATAAGGTCTGACGCGATTGTCGATAAACCATGATCGAGAGTTGTAGTATAATATTCTTAGAACAATCTATGTTGACTATTTTCAGTGATGTGTTTATGGTATGAGTAGGAACAGTTTACATATCTGTTTACAGAATATCCTATTCCATTTAGTTATTGTTCTCATTAGGTTTTTCCACTATCTCATAAAGATTTCTCGATAGATAGTTTATATATGCTCATGATCGGAAATCAATAATACACACGCAGTAAGATGTAACAGATGGTTTCATCATACATCTTTGAGAAACATATCACTATTCACAATCATCTCTTATGAAATTTCAATAATAAAATAGATCTGTACTGTAATAGTATCATCGTCATAGAAAGATTCCATTCTATGATTAGACACTTTGTTATTATATGTCACCAATTATTTTCAATAATCTCTATGCGAAATAATCAACCGCATTATATCAAGAACATCATAGTGAGATTGACTGCGTAACTATAACTCTATTGCTCCTTTGTAGTTTAGAACTTTTATTTTAGTAGCATGGAATTCTCACTAGTTACTTAGAGATATTTCATGAATGATTCGAGGCTTCCTGTAGAGTAGGGGTCGACCAACTTTCAGTTTAAAGTTCAGATCCAACGAGCGAAAGAACTGTCGAAACAGATCAGATAAAATGACAAGATCAGTTTAGATCAAAGAACGTTTTCAACAGCTTCTCAGATTCGAACTAGAATTGAACTCACCCACCCCTACTGTAGAGCTGTTTTCAATATTGTTAGATATAGTAGTCTATATCATTTCTATGCTACACCCCATCTCACCATGATCTGTATCAGTTCGATTATTGAATAAAAAGACTAAAAATACCATATTTTCACTTTTTTTGTTCATCCCTCCTTTCTTTGCAATACGTAAATGTATGGATGTTACGGAATAATCAGTATTTCATTCTTATCTTTCATATTCTAAAGACAAATCCTATTATAAGGCTTTGAACGATTGAACAAGATTCGTTACAGTTTAATGCGATATTACAAACAATTAAACTAACTGGTCTGCAAAAAAAGCAACACCATTATCGGTATCCTTTACATTTAAATATTTTATTGCTAAATTAAATATCTCTCACAGTTATCAAACAAGTATCTATGCTATTCTCAAAGTTTCTAAATATATTCCTTTTAAGTTTCATTATATAGATTTGTATCACTTACATATATTTTCGAAGAAAATAGTATGCGCAAGTTTCAAGTCGACGTTTTTTGACTTCCACCTTCCCTTTCCGTTACAGATCTTAGCCACTGAGGATAAAAAGTGTCAGACTTTTTTAAGAGTCCCTTAGCGACGAAAAAAGGCGCTAAACTCCATTAACGACAAGACTTAAACTATTGTAGAGCATTTCAAAGTTTTCCTCGAAATTTGAACGATTGGAATAGATTTGCGAATGTTTTACATATTGCAGCTTTTGATTTTCGCGTAGATAAAAATTTATATTTAAAATGTCCAGGATGATAAATAGTAATGCATTGATGCGCCACATTCATCGTATAGTCAACATAGAAAAGCATGGACTGATCAAGTTATAAGCTTAGAGAATCATCAATACCATCATTTATTAGTTTATCGAGAAATGTAATAGTGCGTTGAGATCTGCTATAGATATGAGGGATAGATACAAAAGGCTTATCTGACAGTTAAATCAATGGTTAGAATAATAATAATGTTAAGTGAAGGAAAACACAATATGAAAAAGGAAAATAACGAGCAAATAGCAGCAAACCAAACAAAAACAAATAGAGCAACAGTAAAAAATAGAACAAATTCCTATTCGAAATGTGGAAATAAATGAGATGGATCGCTTCTCTGGTGATCGGTTATCTTGGACAACAACGATAGTCTGCGAGAATTTTTTTACTTTACGTATTTTGTATTAGTATAATGATGTTAAAGAACACATGTCAGCTTCACATTTCAGCTTCAAAGGAACTGTGTTAACCAAATTTTTTTCTATAATTCGTAGATAAAAAAATTACTTCGTATTCGAAATGATTTCAGTGCTGTTCAATTTCGTTATGATGGTGCTAAAGGTGTTGTCAGTATTCATCCAGATATGCCAAAAAATATTCATTTATCCATTCGTCATAGTATGAAAAAATTCAATAGTGATCATGATTATTTTGAAGTATGTAAACGCTCAGCACCTCGATCAATATATCTTAATCGACAAGCTATTCTTCTTTTATCATATCGACAAATATCTGATTCATCATTTCTTATACTTCAACAACAAAATCATCTTACACTTATTCGTTCTCTTCTACGAAATGCTGATGCAGAAAAATTAATTCTTGAAAAAGTACCATCATGGTTTTTACCTAAAGATATACATGATGCAAATATTGATTTTATTCATGAACCATTTTTTCGACAATTACTTATTAATTCATGTTTACAATCAACAAAAGATTTACTTCAACGAACTCGTATTCAAATTCCATTAAATAAAGGTCGAAATATGTTGGGAATTGTTGATGAATATAATGTTC